GAGAGCAGGGGTAGTACATGCAATGTGTGTGGGTCCCCCAACCTACCGTGCAGCGATAGGACACCCCTCCACTAGTGGTCAGAGGCCTCGCTGCAGAGCCTGGGTACCCGTGGAGGTATGGGGGGAAAAGTCATAGCTGATGTGAGTGTTCTGGAGCCGGGCATCATGCCGCCTGTCCTCCCACAGGTGAGCAGGCAGAGCCTGGTACTTAACCTGGTAAGGCTGAAGGTTCATACCAGCCCCGATGCCTTCAGTTCCACAGTGGCTTGATGTGGGAATAAACAGACCCAAAGAGAAGGCATTGGTTGAAAGTAACAAACCGTGGGAGCGTTTAAAGAGGACTCACCATGTCTAACTTGGGAGTTGAGCATACATGGACTCAGTCTTCCACTCAGACTTGTTGAAATCGTTTTGCCTGCTGCCCCCTCCCCCCTTGGCTTTCTGACTCCCCGTGTCCACCCCTGCCCACATCGCCGCCTCCCCATCGTCCCCCCTCCCCGCCCCAGGCATCCTTCGACTTTTCAGTGGCTCCCACCCTGCTTGAGAAAACGCCTCCCCGCTGCCCCGCCCCGCCATGCACACCTGAGCTCCTGCAGGGAATCTGCTCTTGCGTTCTCCCCAGTCCGCTGGCACCGATGGTTGCTATGCTTCATGTGTTGGGAAATAGTCTCCAGAGTCACATGTTAATAGTATTCGGAGTCGGGGCCTTTGGAAGGTGATTGGGATTAAGGAAGGGCATGAGGTTTTATAATAAGAGAGCCTGGCTGGCTTCCTCGCTCTATCTGACCACGTGACACTCCACGGTGTCTTAACCCAGCAGGAAGACCCCCCCCCCATCAGATGCTGAGCACAATTAGTGCTCTTGGGCCGCAGAACTGTGAGCCGAATGAACTTTTTATATCGAATGGCCTTCCTATATAGGAGGTGGGGCGGTGCCTCAGTTGGTAAAGAGCTTGTAATGCAGGCCTGGAGACCTGGGGTCGATCCCCAGGACCCACGTAAAGAGCTAGGCGGAGTGGTGTGCACACTTTTAATCCGGGCTCTGGGGAGGTGCAGAGGGGCAGAACACTGGGCCTCGCTGGCCAAGTCAGGGACACCACATCCCAATGAGATACTCTGCCTTAAATCCAGCGAAATCAGGGTGGGCGGCTCCTAAGAGGCTAACCTCTGGTCTCCATGTGCATGCACACACACACACTACACACACACACACACACACACACACACACACACACACACCCCTCTATAAACTTCCTGGTCACAGGTGTTTTGTTATAATCACACAAAAATAAACTAAGATGTGGGTCCAGGCCTGCTCTGGGTTGCCTGTCACATCAACCGCTGTCTCCAGGGCTTAGCGTGTGTCCTTTACTCCATGTATCCGTGACATTACTGGCACATCTCCCCAGGAAGCCTCTTCCAGCATGCTTGTGGACTCAGGCTGACCTCACTCCCTGCCTGCTGTCTGTCTGTCTGTCTGCACCTTCACTCCCCATAGCACTTCACCTGGGCTGCAGCTTTCCTGTTTCTTCGTGTGCTGTCTGTCTTCTCCCCCGGGACAGGGAGCTGGGCTGATTTATCCGCGTCAGCACATGGTAACTGTTGATTTAATGAGTCAACATGACATCAGCCTTGTCAACCCTGCTGGCTTCTGTTCTGGGGCACCCCACAGGTACCTCTCTCTTATCCAGCATCCTTGGGAGCGAACTTGCGTTCACCCAGCTTGGATGTCCTCACCCAAGAGGGTGACTCTGGATATCCTGCCTCTTGATCTAGTGATGTGGCTCACCTTTGACTCCTCCCTATCCTGTGTGTGGTCTTTCGCCAATGACGTCACCGTTTCTTCTAAAATATCTCACCGACTGTTCTCATCGCTCACTCCATCCCTTGTCCAGGCTGCTACACAGACATACCTGAGTGACTGTCACCGCGTCCCAGCAAGGCTGACACTGTGTCATCTGCCTCTCACCACTGGAAGGATTTTCCAAAAGTGGACAGTGTACCGGACCCCTCCTCAAAGCCCCAGGTAGAATCCAGACACTCAGACTTACCCAGGAATCCCTGACTCTTCTGGACCCGATGCCCACCCACACGACACCCCATCTTTCTTCATTGCTTTCCACATTGCTCTCCACTGCTTGCCTTCCAGGCCCTCAGCCCTGGCGTTAGGTCAAGTCACTGCCCTCGCTTACCAGAACACGTTACTCCTGCCTGGAGGGAGGCGGTTCTTGTCTGCTTTGACTGAATCTGCAATATGGTTCCCTGGCGACTGTTCAACACAAAGCCATGTGCTTGGGCTCTGGATCCAAGTCACCTCTGGCAGTCAGACCTTCCCTAAGTTCTGCTTCATTCTTACAGGGTGATGGCTCTCCAGGGACCTGGAGCTTGTCTTACTCCAGACTGTGTTCCCTGGATGGAAGGGGTAACCTGGGATCATGGCTCTTCAGGCATAAGTCCTAGGTCTACCCGCATCTAGCCATCTTCCAGATAGCCAAGCAGGCTTCCGTTGCTGCCAACTCCTATTCAAGAGGATATTGATACGTTTGTAAGCTGAAGGACTTCCTAAGACCCTTGTCACCCAACACTCAGAGACAGTGTGGTCCAGCAAGAAGGACTGGACATAGTTGTAGATCACGGCTGTAGAGAGAGCATCGTCCCTCAGGCCAAGAATACCCGATGCCTGAGTGTGCTCACAGTCTACCCACGTGTGCATGTTGTCCTGTAGAGAAGACTGTGTGCTGTGAGCCTTCTGAGCCCGCCTTATTGACTTCACATTATGTCTTGGAGCTTATTGTACATCAATCTGTAAAAATCAACTCTGTTCTTGGTAATGGTTAAATAACACTCCATTATGAATGTGTTTAACACTTCTGGTTGAATAACCAGGACATCTAGATTGCTTGCCACTTTCCAGTATATCCTGCTGGTCCACTGTGTGCCCACACGCAAGGAGAGCTACAGGATCAGTTACCAGCGTGGGAAGTGCTGGGTTAACTGCTGGGGGGGGGGGCGTGTCTCTGTCTTCCCTCCTCCCTTCCCCTCCCCCTCCTCTGCCTCTGTCTGTGGATTTTAAGGAAGCATATCACAGTCACAGGAAAGCACAAATTCTGTGCACAGGTGAGTTTTTACAGGACGAACTTAACGTGCCACCAACACCCAGGGCAAGAAACATTCTCCTTAGAACCTGGAAGCCACCCAAGCTCCCTCCAGTCACCATTTCATCCTTCCTGGCCCCCTGACCAGCACAGTCCTTATTATGACCTCTAATAGCATTGATAACTTTTGTGTGTGTGCTGAAACCTTTATAAATAGAATTTGTAGTATGGGAAATTTGAGGTCTGGCTTCCTTCACTCAAGATGCTGTTTCATGCAAGTAGGGTGTGTGTGTGTGTATCAGTGTGCATGTGTGTGTGTGTGTGCGCGTGTGTGTATGTGTGTCCGTGTGCGTGTGTGTGTGTGTGTGTGTGTGTGTATGTGTGTCCATGTGCGTGTGTGTGTGTGTGTGTGTGTGTGTGTGTGTGTGTGTCAGTGTGCATGCGCATCGGTGTGCATGCACTAGAGGCCCCGTGTCAACCTTGGGTGTGGTTCTTCAGAGGCCATCTGCTCTGTCTTTTGAGACAAGCTCTCTCACTGGGACCTGGACAATTAGGCAAGGTTGGCCGGCCGGCAAGACCCAGGGAACTGCCTTTTCCTTAGGGCTAGGACCACAGGTATGTGTCGCCTTTTTACATGGCTTCCAAGGATTGTGCAGCAAAATGTGTCTGACTGAGCTGTCTTCCCACCTCCACATCTGTATTCTTCTAAAAATCATAGCTGTAAGTGTAGATGTTAAGACTGTTTCCAGTCTCAGGCTATTATGACTAAAACTGCTATTAAAATCCTGATACATGTGCATGCATTTTTTCTTTCCTTTTCTTTTGGAGACAGGGTCTCGGTATGTAATCCAAGCTGGTCTTGGACTCACGGCAACCCTTCTGCCCTAGCCTCAAACTTAGCCAAGATTTCCTGACTCTTCTGAGACAGACTGTAGCTGTACTGGGACCACAAGTATGCACAAGTACAAATGACTGTATACATGCGTTTTATTCACAAAGATACTGTCAAGTTACCCTACGTTATGCTGTTAGGACCATTTATTCCACTGATCGCCGCAAAGCCAGTTCCAGTCAAAGTTGGTGTTGGAGTGTCTGTCTCGTTAATTCTCCGCCTCATTGTTTGAGACAAAATCTCTCGATGAACTTGACGCTCGCCAGTTGGGTTGGACAGGCTAGCCAGGGAACTGTGGGGATTCCCCATCTCTACCTTGCTGGCACTGGGATCACAAGCACGTGGCCAGGCCTGGTTTTTGTTGCTGTTTGTTTGTTTGTTTGTTTTCCTTGGGTTCTGGGGATCTAGACTGAGGTTCTTACGTGTATAGAGGGCACTTTGCTGACTGAGCAATCTCCTCAGGGTCTAGCTTCCTATTTCCTTAGTAATTTTAGTAACGCTGTGCCTCCTTCTTGAATCTCTTCTCCTCACCGCCTCTTATTTCCTCCCCCCCTTTCACTTTTAGGGCCCAAGCTGGCCTCATGCTGTGGCTCCTCCTGCCTCTGCTCCAGAGAGCTGGGATTACAGTTATCTGCTACCCACACCCAGCTAGTTAATGGATTTCTCCCCCCTCCCCATACTCTTACTAAACTAACAGGGAACAACAGAACTCAGAAGGCCCATGGTATTTCTTTGATTTTTTTTTTAAAAGAAATGCCTTATTTTTTATATTTTTTTGTATTTTTATGTGCGTTGGTATTTTACCTGCATGTATGTCTGTGTGAGGGTGTCTGATCTTGGAATTATAGACAGTTGTGAGCTGCCATGTGGGTACTGGGAATTGAACCAGGGTCCTCTGGAAGACCAGCCAGTGCTCTTAACCTCTGAGCAATCTCTCCAGCCCCCTTTGATCTCCCCTCCCCCAACCCCGGCAACTTCTCCCTGTTTTGAAAAGCCACCTTGATTTTCTGTGATTGTTGGAGGGAGCTTGAAGCGATAGAATGGAAACTTGATGCTATAGGGAAGGAGTCTGGGGAGCAAAGGAAGTGAGTGAGGGGAGACATGGCCAGCCTGTGGTGGGGGAGGAGGGAGGAGGGAGCTGGTCCTGGGTGGAGAAAGAGCCTGCTTCGTGGGCATGCTGTGGGATGCAGAGAATACCATCTGCCTTCTGCCATTTTAATGACCTGCAAAACCCAGCCTGCTGGGACAGCTGTGAGGTCCGGACTTGGAAAGATGAGAAAGGTTGGAAACCGACCACCAAGGGACAGGGAAAGTTAGCAAGATCAGCTGTCCCCTGTGCGAGAACCCAGTGAAGATGCTCGAACAACCGCACTGGACTCAACGGGCTTGACATAAGAGCTCCGCTTCTCCAGGTCGGTGTTACCGTGCTGGGTTGCCTTGACAACTCTCCTCTTGAGTGCGTTCCAAAGTTGGATTAGCCTTGGGTTTCTGTTTTGGTTAGTGGTGGTCTGTTGGTTGGTTTGTTTTTCAGAACAGGGTCTCACTATGTTGTCCTGCTGTCCTGGAACTCACACTGTAGTCCAGGATGGCCTTGAACTCACAGAGATGCACCTGCCTCTGCCTCCCAAGCCCTGGGATTGTGTGACTATGTCCAGTATCAGCCTTGGGTTTCTACTTAGCCTTGAGCTCTGGTCAAATTGTTAGTGTTCGTGATTTTGTTGTGAACAAACAAAACCAAGGCCAAAAGACTGAGCTTTTCATTCTGTACTATGGAATTTTCATTTTTTTTTTTTCAAATTATGCTTGGTTTGAACATGCCCCTCAAAGTTTGTATGTTGGAAGTTTGATCTTTGGTGGTATTAGGAGGTAGGCCTTTACAGAGTGGTTCAGCAATAAGGGCTCTACCCTCCAGGAGTGGGTTAAGGCTGTGGGTTCCTTAACAATAGATAGACTTAGCCCCACCGTGTTCTCTCTGTGGCTCTCTCTCTGCCCTTCAGTCATGGGTGGCATGACAGGAAGGACATTACCAGCCCCTGCCCACTCCATCTTAGATTGCCCAGACTCCAAGAACACAAGCCAACAAATACTGTAGGCTCATTATAAACTGCCTCGCTTGTGATATTGTATTACAGGGGCATAAAATGCACTAAAATGTAAAATACATTAGGAATTGTCATTTATTCTGAGAGTGTATCTTTCCATTTTTTCACTACTAAAATGCCCTATCTTGTGAGGCAAGATGGTAGTCACAGATGGCATATGACATCCAGGCTATGTGAATGTCATTAGCCACTCTACAGACAGCTCCCAAGTCTGTTCTAAAATCCTGTAGTCAGAGAAGCCGTACCTGGGAATTTTTTACTCAGGTGTGTTCGGAGATGCATTCCAGACGTGGTGGCCCAAGGATCTACCAAGGCTAGTCTCTTCTCTACTGCTAACTTGGAGGAACTGGGCCTGGCAGCTGCTGAGAGGTAGGAGACCCCCAGGGGCAGACATCTTCATCCATTTGATCTTCACCCCTGAGTCATCCAGTGACACCCCCCCCCAGGTCCAAACCCCGGTAGCCCCGGCCTCTACAGCTCTTGAATATTGCTGCCTTTGGCCAGAGTCCAGCCACGAAACCAACATGGGACAAAGCACATGTTAGCCACTGCCCCCACTGCACTGACCTGCTCTCCAGATTAGGTGGGAAAGGCTGGGAAGAGCTGGAGAGAGGAGGCTGTGGGCACACCCCTGGGCCCACCCTTTCTTCCTTCCCTCTCTCTTTCTCTTTTGGTCCAGCTCATCAGGCCAGAAGCAGCAGCGAGACCAGAACGCAGAGGGAACTGATTGTGTGGCCGGCTTTCTGGTTGGCCGAACACTTTGTCAAGTGGTTCTCCTCCACCAATCAGAGACTGCTTGGGGGTGAGCGACTGTTTTCCTGCTGACAGCCCCAGGCTCCTGGCTCCTCCCCTGGAGGCCCTGGGGATGGAAGACAGAGGGGCAGTTAAGACATTGGTCATCCAGGTCAGCCCACTTGTTTGTTAATGGGGAAACTGAGGTCTAGTGGATTCCAGAGAGAAATCACAAGGGTGCCTTGCCTGGTGTAGCCAATACAAAGGAAGGTCGGGCACAGACATGCAGAAGCCCCTGCATTTCAGCCCCATGTTACATATGGGGAAACTGAGGAACAGAGGACTAGAGCAACACCACCATTATCGCAGGCTGGTGAGCGATGACCACCAGCAACCACCTCCTCACTCAGCCTCAGCCTGCTAACCCCTGACCTGCACGGAGACCAGGCTCAGGGCAGTGGGTAGCTCCGGCCAGCCAGAGGACCCATTCTCACAGACCTGGTGTGCAGCTCGGGCTGTGGGTGGCCGCATCCTGGCTGCCAGCCTCTGCCTTCTCAGTGTGTCTCCAGGCTGTGTGCCCTCTCTGTGAGATTGTCTCCAGTCCTCCAGAGAGAGAGAAGCAGATGTGTCCATGTGTCAGGTACTTGGGACAGAGGGTCCACCTGCTCTCAACTTGCGTCCCTTGTCAACAAAAACTGAGACTAGAAACAGAGTATCATAGTCCCCTGGAGACTTCTCAGAGGGACCGTGCATGTGGCGGGGGAGGAGAGGGATCTGGGGACAGGGAGAATTCAAACCCATGCCCTGTCTTTGGGTTCCTCACCAAGACAGGAGAGACTGACCCACAAACAAGATCCACCATCCACCAAGGCTCATGGGTCCCAGCAGAGAGGATCTGATCAGTTCCCAGAGAGACTGCCCAGAGGTTCATCTACACTGCTCATTTGGGCTGGGTGTCAAGGGACAGGAAGGGTCACCCAGAGGTCAATTTGTGCTACTATGGGCATGCCTCCTTGTCCATGGCATCCTCCGTCTCTTAGCAAGAGACTTTCTTATGCAGTGTGAGCTCAGTGCATCAGCATGAGCCTAGGAAGAGACCCACAACCCTGTGCAGAGAAGGCATGGTAGGACCCAGGTTGTGGGTCCATCCTGAAACTTCTTAGGTCTGGAACAGAGTCTGAGACCCTGCTTGTCTCACCATTTCCAGAGCTGCTGAGGCCCTGGGTCAGGCTCATCATGAGGACTACTGATTTACAGAGAAGAAAGGGAGACAGCAGCCTGGCAGTCAGAAGCATTGGGTCCCTGTCGCCTAGTGAGCGTAAGCTCAACAGCTAGCCACCTCTCCACCCATGCCACCCTGCCACCTCTTGGACATAATTCCCCAAGGCTGATGTCCCCAAAACAGCCTCAGATAAAAGACTTGAAAGGCTGTGTGGCCTTGGGCAGCTGCATAAGCCACCCCCTATCCTGGAAGGGCCACCACCCAAGTGTCTCGTGGCTGCCTGGCCTTTCTGCCCAGGCTACAATTAGGTGTGCTGCCAAACAGGCTTCCCTAGTGACCCAGTGCAGAGCTGGCACCAGCCCAGACCAGGCAGCGGGGCGGGCCAGGAAGGGAGCTCCAGGCATTGGCAGCAGAGAAGCATCACACAGGCTGGCTTTGTGTGTATGCCTGTGGGGACCTGAGTGGAGATCGGTTAGGATGCCTGCCTCTGGTCCCACTTCCTAGAGAGTCTTCCTAGGTCTCTGCTCAAGCACGACTGTCCCTGTGTCCCACACAGCCTTCAGACGTGTGATGGCCCTGAGTTGGCCATCCTCCTGCCTCAGCATGATTTTAATCACTTGCAGGGGCTTCTCAATCCGAGGCAGAGTATTCCCCAATTCAGAGCTCACTGCAGGCAGGCAGCCTCCGCTACCAGGGGCTTCCCTGGAACTGGGAGACTCCTTGACACCCACAGTGACAACAGCACCCCCTGGCCGGAGGCCCCTCCTCCGTCCCCATGTACAGGCTGTAGCCCATACTGCTCATTATTCTGATGACCACGCCCTGCCTGTCTCTCCCCGCCCCACACTAGGATTGTTACCCCCACATTTACGAAGGGATTCAACCTCGGACAGGGCCTGCTATGGACTGGGATCCCTCCTCATCTGGAAGAGTCTGGCTGGAGTACCTTCACTATACCTTCCAGGTTCCATCCATGTCCTTCACAGATCTGTGTGGGGCCCTCTTGGGTCAGCCGGTGAGAGCTGAGAGGCTGAGTTTCCTTGTCTCCGATGGCTCGGCACTCATGGTTTGGGAGCAACCACCATTACCCTCCTCCTTCTGTTTGGCTTTTGTCCTGCGGGAACTCAGAGTGGGGAGCCCTTGCTTCATTGCCAGCCTGACCCTCCTTCCCTGCTGGCAGCACATGGAGAAGGTGGGAGACACAGGACTGTTCAGTACACGCTTAACTCTCTGGTCCCGTGGATCGCGGCAATGTACGGGTTGGCCGTCTGCTTCTTCACACACACCCTCTTCATCCAGCTCGTTCCCACGGAAGCCCAGATGTTCGGCCAGCTGCCGGGCTAGAAGCAGGAGCATGATCGAAGGGGCTCAGTTCCCCTGTGGCCTTGTGACCTAACCTCCCTATGGCTATGTTAAGTGGAGATCGTAATCACATCTACTTACTGGAATGGGACGGAATTAAATGAAATCAAGCCTGTCTAGATAGAGGCTTGGCAAAGGTGCCACGCGATGAGTGGTAGATAGGTGGCTGGAAAGAAGCTTCCTCTAGACAAGGAGAGAGATGGTGGTGATCTTACTTGGCACGTGCGATGAAATGGCCCTGAGAGTCATCCATCAGTCCACTCTGTCCCTGGGTTCTGTATTGGGGACTCAACCAACCTGGGATGGAAAACACACACCACGAATGAGGTTGGGGCTAGGAAGATGGCTCAACTGTTAAGAGACCTGGCTGCTCTTCCGGGGCACCCGGGCTTGATTCCCAGCACCCACAGGGTAGCTCACAGCCATCTGTAACTCTAGTCCCAGGGATCTGACACCATCTTCTGGCCTCCTTGGGTACTGCATACGCATGGTGCACAGACATACATGTATTCAAAACATTCATACACATAGATATATATTTTTTTAAGTTTTAAAAACGGGGTTGATACAGTGCATGTACAGATCATTTCTTGTCATTATTCCCTAAGTAGGATGTATAGCAATTACTGACACAGCCCTTACATTGCACTAGAGACAGTCTAAAGATGCCCAACAGTGACTAAGTTGGTAGGAGGCACACAGCTGGTAGGCAAATACTGTGTCACTTTAAGGACTGGGGATGTAGCTCAGTGGTTGAAAGTCTGTGATTACATACGCAAGATCCTAGGTTTGATCCCTAGCACATGGCAGCGGGAAGCAAATATTATGTCGTTTTACATCAGGGACCTCTGAGATTTTGATTTCCTCAGAGTATCAGGACCAGTCCCCTATCATGAGTTAATTTTGCCCCTTGGAGGGAGGCGAGCCAGTGAGGGTTGTGAACAGGAGATTAAGAAAGTGTACATTACTAAGGGGGAGAAGGCCACTATGTGACATTTGGTGACCACCTTGCCAGGGAGAGGACCTTCTGTCCTCCTTCTTGGGAGTATTTTCCAGACCCATCGTGCATGGGGAGGGGAAGCAGAAACCTTGCAGATGTCACTTTTCTCGAGTGACGGGGGCTGCACTCACCAGCGATAAGCTGTGTCGACATAGCAAACTGATGTGCAGAATCACGTTCCACGAGAACTGTCACACAAACCCGAGATGAGGGAACGCTCCAAAAGGCCTCACGGGGACTCCCCCAAAGGGCTGTGGTTGTGAAACCCCAAAAGGGCCAAGGAGGCTTGTCGGATGGGAGGTGGCCGAGAAGAGACGCACTGGGGTCCTGCCCTGGCCCTGGAAAAGGAAAGAGCCAGAGGGAAGAGTCGGTGACATCTGTGAGTGGCTTGATGATACTGTGGTGTGTGGGCATGGTTTCACAAGATGTCAGCATCGCGGCGGGCCACGGCAAGGCCGTGAGGGACTCCGCGCTGTCCTCCCAACTCTGCAGGAAACCT